GATTATGAATGATAGCAGCAACACTTCATATAATAATTCATTAATAATCAGTATTATTGTTGATAATAATAGCTGTTATCCTGCAGTTCTGGAGTCACAGATACCTGCAAAAAAGAGTTTGGGAGAAAAAAACAAAGACATAGTTAGTCGTTGTGGTAAAATAAATAAATGAATGTGGGTGGGAGTGGGGGAGAAGTGCTCAGTGCATGATGGGAGTTCCCCCAGCAGTCTAGACCTATAGCAGCATAACTAAGGGATGGTTCAGGACTCACCTGATCCAGAACTAACTATAGGCTTTATCAAAAAGGAACGTTTTAAGTTTAACTTTAAATGCAGAGATGGTGTCTGCCTCCTGAACCCAGAGTGGGAGCTGGTTCCACAGGAGAGCTGAATGCTCTACCTCCTGTTACTCTTACAGACTCTTGGAACCACAAGAGAGCCTGTGTTTTGGGAACAAAGTGATCTATTTGGATAATACAGTGTTATCAGCTCTCTGACATATGAAGGGGCTTGATTGTTAAGGGCTTTAAATGTGAGGAGCAGGATTTTGAAATCTATTCTGAATTTTACAGGGAGCCAACGTAGAGAAGCAAAGACAGGAGTAATATGATCTCTCCTTCTAGTTCCTGCCAGCACCCGTGCTGCAGCATTTTGTACCAAAAAACATGTCCTGGTCAAACATAACTCCAAGGTTCTTCACAGTGGAGCTAGGGGCCCTCCAGGCGGAAAGAAAGTCACACCTCTATTGACCCATCTATTCCTCTAACCCGAAGAAGTGGAGGAGAAGAAGTGGACTAGTGGACCTGTTGTTTGAAAAGAGGCACATCTGTCTGACAAACATACCTGGACCATAGGATGGACCAGACCTGGATCTGCTAGAGTCAAGGCACCTTACTCACCCAACATCTGCTCCCCAGGCACCCTCAGTAGCTGTCCACTGCCCCATGTGGTCATTGTGTGGATTTAGAATCCATCACAGCACAGAAATAGCACTATTAAAAGTCACTATTGACCTTTTCATGGCATCAGATGATGGACTTGTCTGTATACTCGTCCTGTTGGATCTTAGTGCAGCATTTGACACCATAGATCATAAGATTCTGCTACAGAGACTAGAACAACATGTAGGGATCAGAGGAACTGCACTAGACTGGTTTTAATCATATTTTATCAGATAGATTTCAATTTGTTAACGTCAACAATGACCCCTCCATGCACATGCAAGTTAGTCATGGAGTTCCACAAGGTTCTGTCCTTTGACAGATCATCAGAAAGCACCACGTATACTTCCCTTGTTACGCAGACGACACTCAGCGGTAACTTTCTATGAAGCCTGATGAATCTAATCACTAAGTTCAACTTCAAGAATGTATCAAGAACATCAAGTCCTGGATGACCCAAGATTTCTTACTTCTAAATTCAGACAAAACTGAGGTCATTGTACTCTGTCTGAACAGATAGTCACCTTGGATGGTGTTAGTTTGGCCCCCAGCTTCACCCTTAACAATCAAGCCCCTTCATATATCAAACAGCTAATAACCTGTTATATCCCAAAACTTGTTCTGTGCCATGTTTTCCAACCAACCTTGAGCTCCTCCTTACCTCTTGCCCTAGTTACCGGGCACCTGCTGACTGGCCTTTAAAAAACCTGAGAAGCTTCCATCTCTCTCTCTCAAAGTTTGTGCTTTGTTGGTTACAACTGTGGTAATGTTTCCAGGATCCTAACTTTGTAATGCAGTTTTAGATTTTTCAAGTGATGTTTAACTTGGCTTTAGACAGGACACATAAGATACAATTTGCTAGTGAACAATGTGAGCAAAAGGGAAGATCTGTGTTTAATCGAGCTTGCTCTTCAAGGCCTCTTCCTGTCTCTACAGCTTTCACTAGAAAGTCAGCTGTGGCAGGCAGGTGACAGGCTGATGGCTGGCTGAGGTTGAGCAGGAGAAAGGGCAGGCGAGTTGAGCCCTGGTGATCCTGAGGCACAAGGAAAAATAGAATTAATAGAATTCACTAGAAGCATACGAAAGAATCTCTCTGAAAGTTTACCTTCCATCATGCTACAAACTATTTATTCAACCAATGCTGTAATCACTCTTATTTGTCTGACGTTCTCCATTACACGTGGCATCTATTGCACTTCTGTCTGTCCTGGGAGAGGGATGCCTCACATGTGGCTCTCTCTGATGTTTCTACGTTCTTTTTTTCCATCAATCTGTTAGACTTTGTTTGTTACTTCCTGTCTAAATGTAGCAGGGCATGTGAACTGGCCGAGCAGAATTTGGGGGAAGCCCAGGGAAGAATGAAGGGTAGGCTTCCCAATTCAGAAATCTTGGCCAATTTGGATGTTCAACTTTTTTATTTGGATTCCTCAAATAGATCTGACATCATTGAAGTGATTTGTAAACATCCTGCCCTTTTCTCTGATGTGCCCACATGCATCAATGTTCTCCAGCATGACATTGATGTAGGTGATGCTGCGCCTATTAAGCAACATTCTTACAGAGTAAACCCTGAAAAATGTCAACTTATACATAAGCAAGTAGATTACATGTTGCAGCACAGCATTGCTGAACCTAGTGCTAGCCCATGGGGCTCCCCATGCCTGCTGGTGGATAAGTCTGATAATACACGTTGCTTTTGTACAGACCTTCGTAAGGTAAATTCTGTCACCAAGCCTGATTGTTATCCTTTCCCTTCATTAGATGACTGTATGGACAGACTTGGGTCTGCAGCCTTTGTCACTAAGTTAGACCTCCTTAAAGGCTACTGGCAAGTCCCTCTCACTCAGAGGGCTTCTAAAATCTCTGACTTTGTGACTCCAGAAGACTTCTGTCAGTACACAGTTGTGGCTTTTGGGATGCTGCATGCACCTGCCACATTCCAGCATCTAGTAAATAAGGTGTTGTGAAGCATATCTTGACGATGTGCTCATCTACAGCTCTACCTGGTCTCAACACATAACTCAGCAGGAGGTGGTGTTCTAAAGGCTTGCTGCTGCTGCCAATTTTACTTTGAACCTTGCCAAGTGTGAATTTGGACAAGCCACTGTGACATACTTGGAGACGGTTGTTGGACGTGAAAAAGCCTGTCCCATTGATGATAAAGTAGAGGCCCATTTTTCTCTGCTCACCCCAACTGGTCAAGGTAGATGACTGCCAACATTGAGCCTGGTTCTAGAGGTTTCTCTCTGTTAATGAGGGAGTTTTTCCTCTCCTCAGTTGCTGAAGTGCTGCTCATTGTGGGAACTGTTGGGTTTCTCTATAAAAAAAATTAAGATCTTGACCTTCTATGTAAAGTTCCTTGAGAATGTATATTTTGATTTGGCGCGATACAAATAAAATTGAATTGAATTACAATAACCTCAGTTTTGTCTGAATTTAGAAGTAAGAAGTTCTGGCCTTGATGTTCTTGAGACATTCCTGTAGTTGAACTAAGTGATTAGATTCATCAGGCTTCATAGAGCTGTATAGCTGGGTGTCATCTGAGTAACAATGGAAGTGTATGGATAAAAACCTTAGCATCGTCAGCATATGCCGAGACGACCACAGGTGGGTTGTGAGCCAGCCCTGGCAGAGAGAGACCCTTCCGCCTGCTCCTCAACCTGCACAGAAGAGGCTTGATGGTAATGCTGCAGAGTTGTCCAGAGGCACACAGGCAGTTGAATCTAACCTCCGACCCACCTGGAGGAAACATGGACTTCTCCAAAGGTCTTTAAGTTCCTGTTTGGGGGCTGACAGTGTTCGTTCAGCTGTTGGATCTGGTGAAGAACAGGATGAAGCTCAATGGTCAGGGAACGAAGGCTCATCAATATAAAACCAGTTTCCACCGGTATGTCAGCTGGTTTGTTGCGTCAGGAGCATACAGTCTATGGTCAGGAGATGTAAATGACGACTTGTCTGGAAATTGACACCATCCTGTTTGAGAAGATGATGGGAGCTGACGGACAACCGCCAAACTTCCTTTTCAAGGCCTTTTCAAGGCTCTCATTGGTATGACAGCTGGAGCATTTCTGGGGATACCAGCAGAGGTCTCTCTGATCCGGATGAAGGCTAACAGACTTCTCCCTCCAGACCAGAGGAGGGGCTATAGCAATTTTTTAATGCTGTGGAGGGGGTGTGTTCCAACATTGGCTCGAGCGGTGTTGGTGAACGCAGCTCAGCTGGCATCGTACTCTCAGTCCAATCAGGTGCTATTCGACTCAGGGTATTTCAGGGACAATATTCTGTGTTACTTTTGTGCCAGTATGATCAACGGCCTCATTACCACAGCAGCCTCCATGCCCGTGGACATCTTAGTGACCAGTTTCCAGGGAAACCGGAGTACGAGAACGGTGCGTGTGGTTCTTCTTACTGTGGAAAGGTTTCACTCGGTACTACGCTCGTCTCGGAGCTCACACAGTCCTCACCTTCATCTTCCTGTAGCAGATGAACCGCCTCTACAAGACCCACGTCCTCAACTGCTAATGCACAGCACACAGCACACAGCACACAGACACACACACACACACACACACACACACACACACACACACACACAGACACACAAACACTGCCAATAATACAACAAAACTCAATGAGAATCAGTGTTATAAGGAGGATACCATGTTACTGACACACACACACACACACGCACACTATTTTAAATGGAAATTATTTTTGGAGAGAAAAGAATGTAAACTGAATTTAGCTCACACATCATTTCGTGATGTTTAATAAAATTAAGGATCAGGGAATGATTAGTAACCAAAGTCTCTCTCTCTCTACTTCTTTCACCCTCCCTCTCTCTCTCTCTCTCTCTCTCTCTCTCTCTCTACCTCTTTCAACCCCCCACCCCACCCTCCAGGCTTTAATGGACAGATTGGGTTACACACACCTGCAAGTGATACGGGGTCACAACTATCTTGGTCTTCATGAATTATTACAGAGCTTTCAGGTTTGAGTGAGCATGTCCATTCAGTGAGACTGCAAGCAGGTAAAACAGTGTGGAGCAACAGAGCCAGGATGGACATCTCTGTTCTGCCCAACAACAACCACCCAGAGAAGTTCCTCCAGCTTGATGTAAGGATACTGCCAGCCACCCATGGAATGTTCCAGGTTGGCTCAGCTATTTCCAGTCAAAGACACTGGCAGAACAGGGTTTACTCCCAGGTATGGAATATTTCTCAGCCACTCTTACTCAGATGTTATGAAATACATTTACTCTTATTGCTGTAATTAAGTCTTTTTTGTTAACAACTTTGTCACATTCACTTATATTAATACACACATATATTTTGTAACAGTATTTTTACTTTTAAGTGAAGAAAACATATGCCTTTTCAGTTTATCCATTCCCTCCGGTGTGTTATATAGGGGTTGTGCTCACTTGTACTTACTGTCAGTGAAGTAGATATATACACAAAGATTGATAGATTGATCGATAGATAGATAGTGTACATTAGAGTATTTAATGCAAACATAAGAAAAAAAACTATTTTGGCTACCTGTACATATAATATCAGCTCTCTAAGTACTGAAAAAGTACAGGTGCATGTGTTGAGAGTTCAAGGCCTCATTGTCTCCACAGAGAGAGCACAGGATAAAGAGTGAAAACAGATATCTTCCATCCCCAGAGGGTGTGGTCTTTGTGGACAGATACCTGGAGAAGCACATCACACCAGTCACTCTGAAGTCCAACATTAAAAGGAACCCTCTGTATACAGACTTAAGATCGATGGACAAAACGGATAAGGAGAAGTCCAAGCCCTCTTGGACTGTCAGGGAGTTTGACACTCAAACAATCCATGGCAACCTCACCAACTATTTAAAGGTAATTTGGGGGCATGAAGAGATGCAGTGGTTGATTGGAAGGATGCATGGAAGTATGGAAATGGATTGGTGCAATGCCAAAAGAGAAAGGCAGATGCACAACTGAAAAGATGATGGAATTTAGAGTTCTAGACTGTGCTGTCTTTTAATTCAATTTTTTGTCAACATATAATATTTTGTTGCGCTGTAAATAAAAGAGAGGAAAATAAACAGGTGACCAGTTCCAAGTGGGTAAACTAAAGCAGTGGGCGGTAACTGGGTCAAACCAAAAGTGAAAATCACGACCAGGTCATGTTGATAATTTCAGTATTTTAATTTCACCATATCGAACTGACATAGACACAGTTAGACGTCATGCAGATCTCTTTCATGGCAACAAACTTTCACAGAAACACTTCCTGTTTGGCAATTTGTCTTCAAAGTAAAAGCACAGCATTTGTTTTGTTGCTGCAATGCTTCATACTGAACAGAATTACTGAGCTTTTGTTCAGAAACTTTGTTCTGAATATTGTACCGATAGCTTGACAGTCCTCTGAAATTATCAAGTTATAATGTAAAGAAGAATAACATCAGTTCATTAATCATTCAAACTTACATATAAGTCACACAAATTAACAGTAATAAAACAAATTCAACTCCCTCAGCGGACATTTCATGGCACCCTGAATCTTATTATGACCCTTCAACCCATGATTCCTGACGTAAACAAGGTCTCCCTCACTTAATGAAGGATTTCACTTGGTGGTCCTGCTTCTGATCCCAGTACTGCCTCCTCACAGCCAACCACTGCCCTACATGGCTGTATGCTTCATCGGGTGACTCTTGGTGCTCCTGCACCCAGTCCTTCCCCTGGCCCCCCTCCCCCTCTTCTACCCCTGCACATAACAAAAAATCTACAGGCAAAGGAGGCTTCCGATCAAACATTAGGAAGTAAGGAGTCATGCCAGTTGACTGATCCACTGTGGTGTTATATGCATAGGTTAACTGAGGAAGGTGCCATGGCCAATATCTCTTCTGGTCCGGGGGCAGTTTGTGCAGCAAATCATTACCCTAACCCTAACCCAAGTATGATTAAATTGTTCACACTGGCCATTACCTTGAGGATGATAAGTAGATGTTTGACTTTTAGACCTTATAGACCCTGCATTGCTATCAGATCAGGTTACTCTCGAAAATTCTCTCCTGGTCTGAATGGATGCAGTCGGGAGGCCAAAACAAATGGAACAAATGTCTCACCAGAACATCTGCTACTGTACTGGCCTGCTGTTCCTTGGTGGGAATGGCCTGGGTATATTTACAAAACACATCTGTCAGGTCCAATACATTCTTTTTGCAATTTGAGGCTGGTTCTAACAGTGAAGTCTATTGTCAAGATCTCATGCGGGAGAGAGGCCTGCAGACTGCCCATAAAAGCTTTAGCTTTGGCTGTACAGCTTTAACTCCATGGTCCTGAGAAAGTGACAAATGGATTTTGAAAATCTATATAAGCCAACACTGGGGCAGTGAAGAGTGCATTTTTTAGATGGCCAAATTTCTCTTCACACTCCGCTGTCCAGGCTGAGGCTAGGTGCTTCCTGGGTGTCTTACCCTTTTTGGAACCGGGCCTCAGTCGTGCCACCACATGGTGCAATGGACAGATGGTGCCATCTTTACAAATCCTGCTATGAAGCACCTATAATAACTAGCAAACCCTAGAAAAGATCGGAGCTCTGCAAGGTTGTTGGGGCTCCTCCACTCTCTCATAACCGCTACCTTGTCTGGGCCTGCCTCAACTCCCTCAGCTGACACTACATGGCCCTGATACTTCACCTGTCGCTGAAGAAAATGACACTAACCTTGAGTCCTTGCTTCTTTAGCCAAGAGAAGACCTCCTCCAGCCAAACCACATGCTGCTGAATCAAGGAAGAAAGCACAGTCACATCATCGAGATACAGTAAAGAGCGATTCATACCGGCAGTCTCCAAACATGTGCTCCATAAGGCACTGAAAAGTGCTAGGAGCATTGCACAGACCAAAGGGCATCCTATTAAACTCAAATAACCCAAATGGAGTACAGAATGCGGCCTTTGCCTTGTCTTTTTCTGAAACAGCAACTTGATTATAGCTAATGGCTAAATACAAAGTGGAGAACCACTCAGCCCCTACAAGTCCATCCAGTGACTCTTCAATGCTTGGCAAAGGTAAAGCAACTCTCCTGGTCTTTGCATTCAGGTGGCAGTAGTCAATCTTATTCCACCATCTTTCTTTTGCACCAGTACAATGCATAGGGACTACTACTTTCCCTGATTATTTGACTGTCCAACAGTTGTTTTCTATGATCTCTCACCATGTCATACTGTGAAGGATGGAGGCAACAGTAAGGATGATGCACAGGGGAATCTTGTGTTTAATTAAATGAGTGCAACCTACGTCCGCACCATCCCTTACAAAGAGCGAGTGATGTTTACTGAGCACTGCTGATGCTTGCTATTGTTCAGATCTGTCTAGCCCCTCAAACTGAGGCAGGCATATCCCAGGAGGCCTTCTGGCCTCAGCTCCTGGAGGGAACACAGACGCTGTACACTCATTGCTACTGGAATCACTGCTCAACTCAACATGGGAGGTTAGTTTGGATATCACAGTTGCTCTGCTCACTGTGGCTATAACCTTACGTGGAGTCAGTCAAACATCAGAATAGCATAACATTAGTGATACATGTACCACAAAAGGAGAGTACTAGGGTCTAGGAGTACACCCTCCTCTGGCCCTGACAGCTCTACAGAATATCCATGTGCTGCTTTGAAGGAACATGGGACATGTTTCCGGGACCATTGTTAATGTATCCCCCACTACACAAAAGGAGTTCTTACCTTTCACTCTTACTTTGAAGGGCTCAAAAGTTAGCAATAGTCTCCTCCACTTGGCAGTGTTTGAGGGCTCCTCTCTAGGCCAGGGCCTCCATTACAGTGGGATCTGCACTGTAAAGCACTTCGAGTGGTCATCAAGACTTGAAAAGCGCTATCTAAATACAAACCATTTCCCATTTATCATCAAAGAGGCTGGGATCTTACTGCAAAAACAACTCATAGTAAGATCCTTTTATCACATTCATTCCAAGTACCCCTGGGGTCTACATTTTCTTTTGCCACATTTGGGGATCACCTTGGCCTTTCACTACTGGGACCCCCCTGCATGTGTCATAAAATATCCCACTTTAGTGATGTCCAACTCCAAATAGCCTAAGTATGGCAGCTCTGTTTTCTGGAAGCTGGTGAAAGGAGAAGTCAGGCAGCAGCTGATGCCTTATGCAGAATATTTTAATGTAGACTTGATTCAAGGAGACCAGAAGGTGGAAAAATATAAAAACGCTAACAGAGTAATATGAGCAATTGTCACCCCCAAGTCTTAAGATGTCTCCCACAGCATCCCCATATATTTCCTCTACTTGTGTCACCCATTCTAATAGCACATCAATGAATGGCTAGAAATGCTGATGTGTGGAACTAAACAGACACTATTCTTTTAATGGTGTACAGATATAATGTGTAACATACATTATATACATAATATATAGTGACCACTAACAGTCGCCCTCTCCTGTTAAGGCAGATATTTAATCTCTGTGTGGGCTGCCCCTTCTAAATGGTTATACACACAATTTACTTTCTCTTTTTTAGTAGGTTTCAGTTGGATATGACTCTCAATCAGTTCAATCCACTCTTCCAGAGTGGGAGAGTGAGTTCTGTCTAAATTACCTGAAAACTTTGGTACCTTCTCACTTTGTTGGATGTAAACCACCCATGTCCCCCCCTCGGTCTCAATAGCAGTTGACTCAACACTGTCCATATCACTGCTGGAAGGTCTTGGAGATGAAGATGAAGAATGGAACCTCTGCAACTGCTGCTCCAGTTCATATATGCGCTTGTCCTTTTCTTCCTTCTGAGTCTCTTCCCCATCCTGGGAGAGCTGAGGAGACAATAATGAACTGGATCCTCTCCTCTCCGCCTTGTTGTTCTGGCCCAAAGCTGCTCTTGCAGTTTCAAAGTATCAAAAAACAAACCCAGCAAATTACTGCTTTGTTAATGCTGCCACCAACGCCAAAATGTTAGCATAAGAAACTAGGCACAAGAAACGTATGGAGGACTTATTCTGGGCACATACACATAATATTTGTATATATTAAAAATATTTTATTTTGAATATTTTGAATACTCTCACAAACCCCTGTAATCCTACTCCTATTCTACCCACACCTGTCATCCTATTCTACCCACACCATGCCCCCCCTATCCCTCACATGCACTCAGCTGTTGTGGGTCAGTTTGAGTGCATTTCAATCTCCTCCCCATCCGAGGTGGTCCACCATCTGTGACCCACAAACTGCCCCTCTGTAGCATGCCTGCTCGTCTTCTCAAGGAACTCTTTGACACTGTTGGTCCATCCATTCCGTCACTGATAAACACCTGTCTTCTCTCTGGTTGTGTCCCAGCTGCTTTAAAACGTGTTGTTGTACAGCCCTTGCTAAAGAAAGAAAATCTTGATCCCTCTGTTTCTCTAATTTCAGGCCCATTTCTAAACTGCCCTTCTTCTCCAAAGTCTGAAACAGCTCTTTCAAGAGTTTTTAACAATTTGATTTCAACTACTGATTCAGGAGACTCTGCTGTCCTAGTGCTCCTAGATCTGAAAGCCGCTTTCGACACCATCAATCATGCAATCCTGTTATCACGTCTGTAAAACTCTGTGGGGTTAAACATAAAGCACTCAGGTGGTTACAGTCATACTCAACACTTAACCTGGGTGACTACTCCTCTGGGATGGCCCCACTTATATGTGGTGTACCTCAAGGCCCTGTCCTATTCTCCCTATATATGCTGCCCCTAGCATCAACAATGTCTCTTTCAATCTATCAATCAAATTGTATTTGTGTAGCCCATATTCACAAATCACAATTTGTCTCATAGGGCTTTAACAAGGTGTGACATCCTCTGCCCTTAACCCTAGAGTAAAGACAAACTAACAAAAAAACTTTTAACAGGGAAAAAATAATGTAGAAACCTCAGAGAGAGCCACATGTGAGGGATCACTCTCCCAGGAGAAGTGCAATAAATGCCACGTGTAATGGAGAACGTCAGAAAAATACTGCTTTGCGGATGACATTCAAATATACTTGCCCCTGAACCTTAAAACTAAGACTTCACTGCAGCCCTTGTTTGACTGCCTAAATGACATCGAATCATGAATTCAAACTTACTCAAATTAAACGGGAATAAGACTGAGGTTATTGTATTTGGACACTCTGAACTGCTGGATGTGAGCACCCTTGGCCCTCTAGCTCCTAATATTCACTCCACCGTGAACATCGGCTTGGTGTTCATTTTGACAGGTTTTTTAAATTTGACTAGCAAATTTCATCAGTTGCCAGGTGTGGCTTCTTTCAACTAAGACTCATAGCCAAGGTAAAGGCCTATCTCCCACAAAAGGCTCTACAGAGGATTATCCATGCCTTCATAACCTCTCGACTGGACTACTGCAATTCCCTGTATGTGGGCTTAGACCAATCATCTATTAAATGTCTGCAGCTTATCCAAAATGCAGCTGCTCGCCTCCTGACTAGAAAAAAAACAGAGCACTGGCTTCCTGTTCGTCACAGGATCTATTTAAAATTTTTACTGACACCGCCTTACTTAGCCGAACTTCTACATACACACACTGCAGTTAGGGAGTGGAGATCAGCCACTCAGCTCCTCCTGGACTTACCTAAAACAAGACTCAAAACCAGAAGTGACTGAGCCTTTGCAGTAGCCACCCCAAACTTGTGGAACAATTACCACTCCACATTAGATCTGCCCCCTCTCTAGCACACTTCAAATCATTACTAAATCTGTTCATCTTGGCTTGGCTTGGTTTTTATCACAGCTGATTTTATTTTATTTGATTGTATATCTTATATTTTACTTAATTATTTTTACTCTGATATATTGTGTTTTTCTGTCTTTTTGTTGACCTTGTATTTGTGAACCACTTTGGTCAACTAAGTTGTTTTAAATGTGCTATATAAATAAAATTGACATTGACATTGACAGAGATCATGACATGGGAAGGCAGTCAGCGAAGCAAAGCTTACAGAGAATCCACAGACAAGATCACAAAAATTCAAAAACAAGCAAAACCTGAACCATCCAGCCCTGGCCAACTTCAGCAAATTCTTGCTCCTGGTCTCCAGGAAGCGGTCTGGCCAACATCAGCTACAGGTCTCCAGTCTGCACTCAGCCACCATTAGCTCCTGGTCATCAATCTGCAATCCAGCCATCACAAGTTCCTGGGGGGTGACTGGGCGACTGAGGGGTAGTTCAACCCATTGACTGTATATATATATATTGTAATGTCCCTGCTTTATAGACGACACGAGAATTCTCTCGTTAAATGCAGCTTTATTTATGATCGTAATACAGGTTACTGTCTGCCATAACCTACACCAAAATAACTTGAAACCCCTCCTTATCTGTCACTATGACAGCTCCAACACATCACTCATCTCCTCCAACACTCTACTTCCTCCTTCACCCCTGACCTGATAACAAAACCCCTGTTTCCCAGCCAATGAGAGCCAGTCATCTCTGAACATAACTCATATACAACAAACACATAGCAGTCAAACAGAACATGAATTCCCATATATACATATATATAGGATTGTGATTAATACCATGTATTCAGAAGTATAGGGCTTTGTTTTTCCTATTTTTGCTCCCCAAAAATGAAGCGTGTGTCTCAATCTCCCCTTGGTGGTTGGCTACAGTTCATAAGTCCCACCTCCTCCATGTTAGTGGTTGTGACATGGACCAAACTAAAAAGTCTCACTACACATTTTATCTCACTGATATTTGACATTATTAAAACAAAGAGAAACATCATGTTTGACAGCTGAGACAGAAACATGATTGGTCCCATGGGTGTTTCATCAGGATAGCTATTATGCAGACTGTGGCTCCAAATGCACAATGTGGAAGCATTTGTATCCGGTAAATTTTCATTTCATTTCTTTATTTTGGTTACATTTTATTATATGTATCTAAATTACAATTAAAAGACGACACATTATGGGCATTTTATAGGTTAATACCATCATGATTAGACTTGACATATTAAACGTGACAATTTTAAGCCTTCTTGTTGAGCAGTTGTGGCTCAGGAGGTAGAGCGGGTCGTCCATTAACCAGAAGGTTGGTTGTTCAATCCATCTCCCCTGTTCCACGTGCCGAAGAGCACTTAGTCAAGATACTGAACCCCAAATTGCTTCTGTCTGGCAGTGTGTGATATAAGTGCTGCACATAGATGCACTGTAAGAATGTATGTGAATAAGTGAACAGCAAAATTGAAATGTGAAGTGCTTTGAGTGGTCATGATAAGAAAAGTGTTGTATAATAACAGGCCTCTCACCATGTTGTGATAAAAAGAACTGATTTAGACTGAATCCTTCAAATAAGAAGGGTTGACAGGTGGAAAATCTTTAATAAAGTTAAAATTAAAAAGGCTATTTTAAGAACTTCATATAATCCATAGCAATCATTGCATATCAGCAACATAGAGGTATTTATGAAGAAGTTATTAGTTCCTGACGGTCTTAAATATTTAAATTTTCCTTGCAGGAGGAAGAGAGGACTCCTAAAGATATGGACTTTTGGCTCGAGGATCTCTACACACCAGGATTTGACTCTTTACTGAAGAAGAAAGAAGCAGAACATAAAAGAAAAAAACTTTGTAAAATTGTTTGCTTAATCATTTTGTCTCTGTGTGCGATACTTATTGTTATTATAGTGCCAGTTGTGGTTCTACAAAAGAAAAACTGATACTGAGTGTATGGACCAATGGGATTTGCTGACCTCCAGTGGTTTCACAATGCTGCAGTGATGTGCACAGTACACTGAGACATTAATCTGTGGGTAGAGTAAGAGGAGAGCACACATCTGACAGGATTGGACCCAATCTGAAAAACATGAGGCTGTTTGAGGGCAAAGCCGTTTGTGTGATATACCTAATAAAGTGCCTCTTGAAAGGATCTTTATTGTAGTTGATCCATTTGTTTTGGAAGGCAGATTGTCATGTCTATGAACTTATTTACTCTGGACACTCAGTCTCTGGACTTTGCCTCCTGAATACAGAGAGTTTTGTTTTTATAGATCCGTTTGTTTTTGCCTGTTTGTTTTCCTTGTGTTGGGATTTATGTTTTCTCCCTGAGTTCTGTTTCCTGTTTTATTTTGTAGTTTCTGCTCATTGTGTTTCCCACCTTTACTTACTGTCTTTGCCCTGTTTCCTGCCCATGTGATTGTCTGCACTAGTTCCTCATGTGTTTCATTGACTGTAGGTGTTTCACCTGTGTCCAATTAACCCAGCCTCCCCTGTGTATATACTGTACGTCTCTGTGTTTCCCTTCGTCAGTTCGTTGTTCGCTTATATGGCTGTCTCACCACAACCTCTGTTTCTCCTCTTTCTCCAGTGAGTTTTCTACTGTTAGCCTTTTTTGAGTTATTGGATTTTGTTTGTTCTTGTAAAGAACCCTGCCTTATTAAAAGGACACTTTTTGTTAAACTTTGGTCTCTTCATCGTGGGTCCTCCTGCTTCCTAAATTAACCTGACACAGATACCTTGCTTTTATCAATTTGTAAGTACTTCTACTACACTTTTGAGGAAAAAGCAGACTTCAAATTTAACTTCATTTGATGTATTTATTGCAATAAAGATGTACAAAGTATTGGTAATCATATATGTTAAAATGTTAGAAATAGCATATGTTACTGTTTAAAGTACAGTGTATCAAAACATTACAGCTATAACTGGCTAGGTCGATTCCATCCACATGTGTGAAAGCAGGAGAAACATTATCTTGATCTGCTTATGTCATCGCGTCTTTTCTTAAAAAGGGATTGAAAAGATAGAAGTACGCTAAATCAAAGAGAAAAAAATACACAAAGAAAGAAAGAGTCTGCCAAAATCAAAAGGCAACAAAATAATAAAAATCAACCTGAAAATGAACTTATAACTAAAACTAAAATACTCTAGACAGAAATATATGTGGAGAAAAGTCTAAACTAAAATAAATATTGTTCTCCATATTGAAATTTGACATACATTTCCCACTCCCTTAATAAATGTCATTAGATTACAAAGTTTATTTACAGGTTAGTTTAAGTTTGCAATGTGGACAACAGAGCCATCACCATTAAGACCAGTTTATGATTATTATTTTTTTTTTTACACTATTACCCATCATCATAGCTTGACACAAGACAGATGGGTACTGGAGAGGAAAGGGGCTTTGGCAGATAATTACGATTAGGAGATGTCAAATGACACAGAGGCTGACATGAGTACAGGTAACATTTGGTTTCTTTATAGAACACAGTATATCATTAGAATCTATTTATCAGGACAGAAGTGAAGGAAACAAGACACAAACACTATTATTTGGTAGTAAAATGTTGACAGGAGGTCTTTATTTTGATTTATGATAATAATAATACTAACAATAATCAGAATCATGACAACAACAATAATAATAACAATAACAACAATAATAATGAAAGTGAA